GATAATTTGTCTCAACAGAAAGAAAATTAAATACATAGTTTTTAACATCACTAATATAGTTTTAATATGGCCCTAGGAGGGTGGCCAGAATTTTTTAACTCGTAAAGGGGTCGCGTATTCAAAAAGGTTGAAAAACACTGACCTAACTGATGTCGTGTCTGGAAGACAGCTAGTTTTTTATGGGATAAACATTAAGTTATTTATTTTAAAACAGTAAATTACTTATATAATCGTTCTTGTAAAATCATTCACGCAGAAAATATTATTAATCAGTAAAAAGTACAAACATAGTTCGTGAAAAGTATCTTATCCGGTTTTGTTTGGTTTATGCTGCCAGGTTCATTCAACACCGAACGAAAGACCATGTCGAACTGTATACATAAACCATCGTCTTTCTCGGGAACCGATCGGGTCCAATTTCACCCGGTGACGGAGAAAGACCAATCCGGGACCGAGAGAGGGGATTAATAACCAATAAAATGACGATTCGCAAACGAAAAGATATCCGAGCCTAAGATACGAGGACACTCGGTTCTTCGCCGCGGCGTCCCACCTGGCTAGGTCCCCGGTTGGGGCGCTTCCATCTTCGTCCTTTGCCCACGTATCTCCGAAAGCTATAGACCTTCGCGAGAGAAACTTGGGACATTCCGATCCGCATTTACCGGACATGGTTTCCCCTTCGACAACTGGACTTAAAATGCAACGTCCGGTCAGCGAATGGAAACCGCCCTGGTCGCCGGACTTTCCTCTTCTTCTTCGAAGGCTACGCGCCGAAGTATACGAGGACTTAAACCCTTCGTGACTACGAACTTTTTGTAAGTTAAATTGTCTAATAAACGGGTTGTGTCGTTTGTAAACGAGATATAGATCTCCGACTCGGCCGTTCCCATGTATAAAGAAATGTGTATTGTACATTATTGTTATTGAATTAAATCTGAATAGTTTGAAGGTTTCAGAATGTATTAGAAGCATATTTTTTATTAAAATTTAAGTGCAGAAGTTTACATTTATCTTCAAATATCCTGGTTGATTGAAGTACAGGTATCCCTCGTACGACACGGCATTTCTACCACAGGGTTTCGTTCTAACACGGTTCAAAAGCTGGGGATATCCCCCCTACAACACGGTTGGAAAATTCTCCGTAATCTTCCTGTAAAAAATCCTCTTCCCAATTTTTAAGCACAAACTCCATTAGTAGATCTTTTTTTCCTTCGAGTAAGCCTTTTATCTCAAATTTGCCCATAAATTTTAGAATACGGGGTCGTGTTCGGTAACGCGGAATTCTCGCTAAGTCTAGTTGAGCCGCGATGTTGAACTCGTTTTTAGCTACCGCTCGACTCCTCCCGCCGCTAGAATCCTATCTAGTTCAGTCGGCTTCTTTTATCTACGCTAACTTCTACCAGCCACGTCGTCGTTTTTGTCTCGTCCTACGATTTGCGAGATGGCTGCTGGTGTTGGACCAAACGTATTTTATTATAACAATCACAATGTTATTCTCTCGTTGGAATCATTAACTCGTTCTAAAATGACTTGGAAATGTAAAATTATCATACGTCGGTATAACAGATTCCGAATACGTGTTAACGGCAGATAACGGGCTATTTCGTTGATTACAATTAATAATTGCTTCATTAATTTCGTCGCCATCTTACGCGGCTTCCATCTGAATTATTGTATCGGTTACTTCGTCCTTTTCTACCGTTCGTTTGCCACAATTGTCGTCGTCGTAATTTTAACTTCGTCCATCATTTTGCCCGGTTGTCTGAGAATAATCGTTCCGCCATGCTCGAACACTCTTCGCTCCGCCCAATAAGCCACTCAGAATTGTAACTTAGGTGTTCCGCGTTACTGAACACGGCTCGGGTAACGTTCGAGGTGCTAGATATATTCTAGGACCTCGGGTAACGTTGTCTTTGCTTTCGGGTTTTAGCCTTTAAGACTGTCACTGTGTTTTCTTTTTATAGATTAACATTCGTATTTAGTAACGTTTATTTAAACATTTTTAAATAATTGTTAATAATATTTTTTAAACCGTAGGTAAGTAATCATTTGTAAAAATGACGAACGAAATACATCGGTATGTCTGTACTCGAACACAAATTCTGGGAAAAAACCTCGTTCGGTCCTCGATTGAACAAACTCTACCCTCTATAATAAATTTTCGATTAATAACATATTTTTGTTTTTATTTAGTCATACATTTTTATGGTAAAAAAAATGAATTTAATGAATGAAAAATGCTGATATTTCTGATCAAGATTAATAAAAGAGCACCCAAGATGACGATACTTTGTAAAAAGAATAATATTTTTTGTTGACTTTTAGAGCCTAACCCCGTGTTTTGTACTGTATTAGTTCTTTGTTTCGTACAGCACGGATTCGCATAAGACTACACTTTTTCGGAACGTAACCATCGTGTTATCCGAGAGATACGTCGTCTTCTTCGTTTGACTGTCAGTCGTGTTCACTTTATATTTCAATGTCGGGATCGCCGTTACTATCCTCTTACATCATTTGCTCTCTGTAATATTATGAATCAAACTTTCTAAGTCTCTCGATATCGGGCCGAGTAGCCCGATAGTTTACAGTGATTTCATAAATCGATATAAATTTGATGGCGAGTGAATTATTTGCAAAAGCGCTTCCTACTGACAGTGACGCATTGCGCCGATGTTTAATAAGAAGCATTTTCATAATCCCGCTTCCGCTCGTTATTTTGCGTTTAAGAATAGGTTTTTCTCCACGTCTGTAACGCCTAAATAGGGGCCAATCTCTTTAAAAAGACCTCTCCGAAGGCATCCCCCTAGGCAGATCGTCCAAGTATCGCGTTTCCATAACTTAACCAACAAGAACACTTTCAAATAGAGTAAAGAAGAAAACAATGGTGGAATTTCATTGGCTATAAGACATTTTCTCATTTATTTTCGCGCGAGGAAAAGTTTACGCGTTACCGTACTTACGCTAATTGTTTGCGTAACCGACCATCGAATGTAAGAAGGACTTTAAAATAAAGTTTAGTAGAGTGGAAAATGAATCCGGATTCTACTGCTAAAAACATTGTACTACCATCGAGTGAAGCGGCAACGTTAAGAACAAATGTTAATTGGCTTAATTATTTTCCTATAATATTACTTTTTCGCTTTGTCTATATATATATAATCGAGACGGGTTGATAATAATAATAATAAGCGCAGAGCCCAAACGGTTAGGAGTTGAAAGTTGAAATTTGGTACACAGTTAGGGTACGTCACGAAAACGCACACTAAGAAGGGATTTTTCGAAATTCCTCCCCACGGGGGAGAGGGGCAGGATTAAGGATTAACACTTCCATCAACGATGGAAGTGTCAAGTAACAATGGAATTGTTAAGAGAAAGCGACGCGCGAGACGCGGATGCATTTTTTTCGTTTTTGCGGGAATCGAACATATTTTTAGACCCGTCTAAAAATTCTCTAATTAGTCTGGAAACGGGGAGACCCAATTCTTGCATTCTGTGAAAACGGGTAAGGTTGACTGTAACGTAATAATCTTAATCTTCGCTATCGTTACTTTTGCCCGAGCAACGCCGGGCCTACCCGCTAGTTATATACAGTCGACTCCCCTATAAGACAGTAGATACGTTCCATTCTTTAGGAATCCGATTTCTTACGAGTCCTTCCAATCACAGCCCGACACGTGTCAAGTTTACGGACTAGGGCTGTTTGAAAGGTTTTCTTCCATAAAATTAAACGATTCTAGACTAATCCGACTCAACATTTCCAAAATACGTATATATTTTTTGGAAATAATCTGTATAAACTATGCTATAAACAAAAAATTGTAGCATTACTTACCGAGTGTGCACCATTTGACATCGCCGTTGCTCAAGCTTGTTTTCGTCGCGGAACAGCTCAGCAAACGATTTCTGATGTTATTTTTCTGCAAAAGCTTCGCTGAACTTTGGAGACATCATTAATATAAATAATTTTTATCGCCGTTGAATAAGGAATGCTTCTTTCACAAGAAATGTATAAAATTAGTGCTGTATTAGACTTACGGTACCTAATTTACATACTGTACAGACGATAGTTCGCCTAAACTCTCCGTAGCGTGGCGCCAGGCGGCGGAAAGTATATATATAATTATAATAAAGTTACAATAAATTAAGTTAATATATAATTATATATACAATACCTAATTTATATATAATTAATATATAATTATATGTACTGTACAGTACCTAATTTATACGTAATTTATATATAATACTGTACAGACGATAGTAATCTCTCCGTAGCGTGGCGCTTGACGGCGCGGAAAGTAGTTCGGCTGCCCGATGACGTTTTACGTAATTATAGGAGCTTTTTACCAGTTTTTACGGATACTGTCGCAATTTTTTCGCTGTCTTATAAGAATCGTAATTATAGGAACCCGTTTTATAGGGGTCTACTGTATAACAGAGAAAAAGTATGACAATCGGTTCAGTCAATAAATGACCTCCCCAGATTTTTACATTTTTGGATTCGGAGACTGAAACATCGAGAAATGCAAAAAATTCGGGGATTTTTCTATATGCATGGATGTTACTAACATCCATACATATAGAAAATACATGCCAGACATACATGTGTGTCTGGCACGATTTTGTTCACCTTATTCGAAGCTTAAAGGCGCTAAAATTATGTTTTAGTAAAATACTGTATTAAGGTTTAGTTTATGTACTCATTTGTTACGAAATTCATATTTACTATTATGTACAGGGAGATTTATTAACCCGTGTTATAGGGGGGTCTATTGTATAGCCTTTACGAAAGGTCGTTGGACTGACATAGCGTCATACTGTAAGTCAAAGATGCTACATACGAATTAATTTTAAAATCCTTAGTAAATATTTACATAATATTATTACTGTTAATTTGTGATGAATAAAAAATATGTCATATTTAATTAATCTTATCGGGGTAATAAAATAATAAATTTAAATATATAATAATGTAAAGGGGGCGTTGTGAGTAATGGACAGGCGCGGGATGGGCGATACGTACGTTATGGGATTTGATTTAGGAACTACTAGCGTTAAAGTATGTTTGATTAATAAAATAACTGGGCAGATCGAAGATATACAATGGCAAGAAACAAACTCGCAAATATCTACAAAATCAACTTCACAAAATGTTAAAACGATATTTAAAGCGATAGAAGAGTGCTGCGGCAGATTGTGTGTGGATAAGTTGGATGGCGTGAATGCCATCGCTGTTTGCGGACAGATGCACGGATGTGTGTTTTGGAAACAAACTGATGTTTGGAATGATTTAAATTCGAGCATCGAAGACGTTGAAGTTAGTTCGTTGTATACGTGGATGGACGATCGCTGCCATCCCGATTTTCTCTCGGATCTTCCTTCGCCTCATTCCCACCTTAAATTGAGTACCGGTTTTGGTTGCTGCACCATATTTTGGTTTCTAAAAAACCGTCCAGAATTTTTAGCCAAGTTTAACAGATGCGCTACCATTCAAGATTTATTCGTTGCTTATTTATGTCGTTTATCCGTGCCTGTCGTGTGTGACCAAAATGCGGCTAGTTGGGGTTATTTTGATACTATTTCTAATACGTGGAATGTAGAAAGGTTGGTTTAATATAAACTAACAGACCGGAGGGGTTTTATTTCGGCCAGAGTCATTAGTATTCCGGTTAAAATTTTGAATAGAAACGAAAGGAACGATAGATTCGCAAGAAATTCTTTGTTAGAAGTCGTATTCCGAACCTTTGTTACTGCGGGCGGTGATGCCGAATGACGCAGAAATTGAACCGGATGTAAAATAATGCGATTGCGGTTACTCGCCGACATGTACTTAAGAGATATTATTGATCCTGCGCGGTATACTCTAGCAAAACTAAATTGTATACTAAATATATATAATATACAAATTATAGTCTCTTAAAGCCCAGCCTTAAAAAAATAAAAACGGAATTATAAGGATGATATTTAACTCCGATGGTTTGCTAATAGTCTCTAGAAGAAATAAAATCTTGCCGAGATGAGAAGTGAAATATACAAAGCACTTGAGAACTCTTGACAGAAATTGTGATGTGTAGAAGAGGAGTAATACGTTATATACGGTTTCGTTACAAAGTTTAAAAATATAAAATTTTATTTACTAAAATCTATAATGATTGCAAATGAAATATATTCTGTTTAAAAAAAGTATACCGCTTTAAATTATATCGACGCGCCCGAAATTTTTGCCGAGCAAACGTTTTCGACCTACTTAATAGGCCGTCTTCGGGCGTACGTCTCGGGTATACCGCTTTATTACGTTCTTTTTGAATTGAGATGAAAGACAATATTTCTGTAATAGCGAGAATAAGGGAATAAAGAGGGAAACGAGCTTCTCCGAAAAGGTAAATATTTAACGGCTAGAAAAGATGGATATTGCCGAAGCGCAGCTTTATTCGAGTGTTGCAAATTTAAATCTCTTTATTAATGATTTAATGCTTTGTTTAAAATAATCTAAATAACATAAAGTTTCTTTTATTATTTATAGTTTAGCATGCTGTCTATAATAATTATTATATATTTATGCAATTACATGATATTAGGTTGCATTATAATGACATTATTGTTGCATGCTTAGAGTCTAGAATTTCTTAACTTTATAGTATAAGTAAAAGAATAGTATAGTTAACAGTTTTAACTGCATTTGTTTCTGTCATTCCCTAATATTTTTAAATAGGAGTGAAATAGGTCGTAGATCGGACGTTACGAAAATTCCATATTCGTAGACAAAAATCCAAATAATCCCGTAAGCTACTTAAGTGCTCACTTGTCAGTCTAGCAGACTACATTGTATTTTATTTTAGAGGTAAAAAATAATGTACTTAACTACAACTAATATATTAAGATTGTTAGTTACATTTAGTGTTTTCTTACAGATTTTGATTGAATTTTTATCTAGAGTTTAAGAAAAATTATCTTAGAATGTTAATAGAAGTAAAAAATCACGTAGAGTAAAACAAACTTGAGTCCAAAATACCATTAATGTAAGAATGAATCAAATTATTTCAAGAAATAAAATTTTAAATTTTGCATAAGTTTATACATTTTAATACATAAAATCAAATCAAGTATAGTCATTTAATTATCATATTTGAATATAAAATTTGCATACTATCTTAATATTTAAAGTTTACTTCTTTGATCTTCTAGATTGAAAGAATGTGACTTTCCTGTGAATTTACTTCCTATCGTTGTCAAACCGAATACGGAAGTTGGAATAACAAAAACAAATTGGCTGAATCTTCCGACTTCGTGTAAGGTCTATGTTGCATTAGGTGACTTTCAGTGTTCTGTGTTTGCAGTTATGGAAAGTGAATATGATGCAGGTAATTAAAAACAAGTTTGATTAAATTTATTGTAAATTTATATAATAATTGTACAAATATAACATAAAAGATGTCTTGATCAATTTGATGTACTAGCATATGAGAATGAATCTCTCTCTAGCAGTGGTGCCAGAACTATGGTCCCTGTACCAAATCCATCCTGTGAACATATTTGACACATCATTAATAAATGATAGAAATAGGCCTATTTTTATATATATGGAATATACAAAGTAATTGTGGCCTATCTATCTATGACTTGTGCATAATTTGACTATTCGGTCAAAAAGTTTGGACATCATTGATCTAGAACATTTTATATAGAGTAAATACGATTTATTTAAATTGCTTCCGAGCGATTATTCCTTAATGAAGTCACTGAATTAAAGTAATATGAAATTTAATCATAAAATTATTATAATTTTTATCAAATTTTACTAATGTTTATGTATTTTATCAGTGTTAAATATAAGTACATCAGCCCAGTTGACTTTTTTGAAACCTAAAGGATTTCTCCCATCCATTCCTGTACCCAAAAATCAGATGATTGATTATTTTCCTTTCTTTGACAATCGCTACTTGGCTGTGGCTGCATCTCTAAATGGAGGCAATGTTTTGGCCAGTTTTGTCAAGATGTTACATCAATGGACCACTTTCTTAGGTAAGTCTTACATTGTGCATTTTAATATATTAAAAATATGTTGTTTTCAAATAACTGTTTAGTTCAGGAAACCAATATTTTTATAAAAAGAAATCTGACTATCTTCAACTTACAATGAATTGATTATAGTAAAGTCCTGCAAACTCAATGTGGACTGAGAAGGTGTACAGTACAACAACGATGCTAGTCTAAATCCGTGGTTCTCAATTCGTGGTCCGCGGAACACGGGTGCTCCGTGAAGCCACTTCAAGTATTTCACGAAAAAATCAAATATACAATTAAAAATTGTTGTATAATCATTTTTTGTATGGGAATGTAATCTGCAAATGCCAATGATATCATATACTAGACCAAGTGTGCTCTTGATTTCAAAAAGGTTTACCACCCTCGCTTTAAATCTGATGTAATTGTTCTGTGAAAAAAAATGTCAAAGTTTAGTGTTCCCCGACTTCAAAAAGATTGAGAACCACTGGTCTAAATAATGGAATCTTTGTACGGTCAATGTGGGTAAATATGAGACAGTCCGAAAAATAGAAAAATATGAGACAGTTGTGAAATTTGACTTAATCTATGTCTGATCTGTCCTGTACTAATACAAAATAAAGTTTATTTAGTGCTTTTTAATGTATAATTTTTCTGAATGGAAATGACTATGGTTTCATTGAGTCTTTTTTAATTTTTTAGAAACACTACAAAAATAGGTGCAAAAACTTTTCTGTCAGTTCAACTAACTTTTGCTCTGTATATGTCTGCAAAAGACATGGATATTTAATTAGAAATTTGTATGTAGTATATAAACACAGCTTTTAGCTGCTAGTTGTTTTTATTGCATATATCATTCTTTGTCTGAGTTTTGTGCATTTCAAAATGAGACACAACAGATTTTATTCACCAATCATTACTTTCCATGAAACTTTTTTACTTTAGTTGTGTTGTATCATAGTAAAAATATTTCTTTGTTCTTATAGGTGTGAGTTTTGAATGAAATAATAAAGATGCCAAACAATTATCAGAGAAAAACTAAAATGTAGGGTCAATATGGGTAAATATGAGACACTTTTCAAAACTGATTAATATTTAATAAATAATATTAATTATTTGAATATTCAAATATTTATTATTTGTATATTAATTATTATCCAAATAATAAATATTTTAATTATTTGGATAATAATTAAAATATTTATTATTATCCAAACAATAATAAATATTTTAATTGTTGAATTTAGAGCAAAATTTCAAATTATGAAACAAAGTTATTTCTAAAAAACATTTATTTAAATCTTATGTAAATGAAAACTACTAATCAAATTTATTATGTAATTTTATTTTCTTTAACAAAATTTTAGTACAAATATATTATGGTATGCAGTTTCATGTAGTATATATTGTATCACTTCAGACTAATTTTATTTTCTAATCTTATGCTACAATTTTTGAATGTTTCATCTTTTAATTTTTTCCTCAAACATTGGTGAATAGAAGACTGTGATATATAGCATTTGAAAGCAGTATAATGACTTATCTATCTTTAAAATTTAGTCATTTAAATCTTTCCTTTTCCTTAATAACTCAATAGTTAGTTCTTGCATGAGCCCAAAATTACATATTGTCTTTTCATCTTTGAAAAATTCAGTTACATTAATTGACACAAAAATACTCCATATCAGCATAATTAGACACTGCATATAGAGAAATTTTTAATTAAAGCACGAAATTTATTGTTAATTAGTAACTCTGACTGAAAGCATAAATGAACCCTTCTTATTACAGAACTTGATTATTGATTTAATTATAATTCTTTACAAATTTCTATATTAAATATCTTTTACAAAAAAATGTATTTAATTAGGTGCAGAAATTTCAGAAGCAAATATTTGGAAAAAGCTTTCTGAAAGTAAAACTGAGGTAGAATCCAGCATGGTTGTAGATCCAACAATTTTTGGAGAAAGATATAAACCAGAGAAACGGGCATCTATTTCCAATATTGGATTTTCTTCACTTCAACTGAATGAGGTATACTATTGTATTTGCAAAGGACTTATCTCAAATCTGCAGTCTTTCATTTCAGCTGCAACATTACAAGAGAATGGCATTCAAAGAATATTAGGAAGTGGTAATGCATTTCTAAAAAATGCAATTTTGCAACAGGAGATTAGAAGGCAATATAATGTACCAGTTGTCTGTTGTGCTGGAAAAGATGCAGCAATTGGAGCAGCACTCTCCATAGTTAAAAACCGGAATTAAAAATTATATGTTCACTAATATAATTATGAAATATAGGAGAAATATGTGTTTTAATGTGAAGAATTTTTAATGATTAGCATGCAATATTAAAATATATAAGAAGGTATTCATATATGTAAAACCATATGTATGAAAACATATCTAGGATGTTTCTGAAATATGTTGACAAACTTTAGACACGGATTTTATATATTTAAATCTAAGAAAAATATTGATATAAATGATGCATAGGATGACAAAGAATATCATCTTTAGGAGAGAGAGTGTTAATTTTTTAATTTAAATTATGTAAATTTTTATGGGAAAATTTAAAATCTTGCATCATTTATTTGACTTTCCATAATGAGAGAGTGTTTCAACATTATATTGTGAGCATTTATCAAACAGTTCACAATGATCTTGTCATTTTTTATAGTTAAGTTTTATAGTTTCTCGACTATAAAAAATGACCAGAGTAGTGTGTAGAGGTAAGAGTACTGTATACTGATCAAAGTTTAGATCAGAGTATATATAACTTTCTCAAAAAATATTCTGAACATTTTCCTAACTGAATATTTTTGTGTATAAAATATTTTCAGAAAACTGTTTATTTACTTGTTCTTGGTTATATGTATTATATCTTTCAGAAACATTCTATATATTGTGGGGGGAAAATGATTAAAATTGAACTTTTGAGTATTTATTAAATCACTGTATTGTGTATCAGTAACATTGCGTATATTATTCCAATGTCATGCCATCTGTCAGGTTGAGTTATTGCATTGCCTATGAAATGATGAAGGCTAATTGCATTATGCTTTCAAATGAGGAATTCAAAGCAAGTAAACATTAAAATCTAAGTAAGAATTATGTGATTATAAAATTTAAAAAATTTATTTTGCTTTTACTTTTATTATTAGCATTAATTTTTTTAAGTAAAACTTTGCTTTGCAAATAATCCACTGTTATCTGTTGGCATGCAAATTATTCCATTGGTACATTTCATATTACCCATACTGTTGAGGGGAATAATTTATTTGTTCGCTATATTCAATTTGTATAAGAAATAAGATTTTGTATTCTTCAGGAATATATTATTTTTCTAAAGAAAGGTTTGTGCTAAGTGTATTAAAAACAAGTTGGAGTTGTGACAAAGTAATTTGTAGGTGCATTTTTGTTGTGCCAATACATGGAAGCACACAAAGAACAAAAAGTTATTTTTTTAAACAACAGTGTACTGGGAATTTTATAGTATTTTATTTACTTTTTTTGATAAAGTGTATTAACTAGTTTGTATTGCCATCAAATTGTTGATTGAAAATGTAATATATGACTATGTCACCAGTCACAATTGAATTGCAGCTTTTGGCAGGTAACTGTTTATTTAAGCTGTTTTAAATGCTATAGTATACATTTGTATGATGTAAATTGTATCATTGTAAGAGTTTTGTAATATATTTGTATCAGACCTGTTGGTCAGATACAAACTGATAAATGATAACTGATGAATTATTATATTTTAAGCCAAAACGAATTTTAGGTGGATCAGAATAAAATCATGAATATTTATCTAATAAATTAGCTATAAGAAAGTTTCAATATGTTATTACCTCTTATAAATAACTATTATATGATAGTAAAAGATTGGGCTTGATATAATAGAGGATTAGAAGCTTAATAATTGGTATAAAGCTGCCCATTATGAATTCTATCAGACCCACAATGAGACAGGCAGATGGTGAAGCAGGGCTCAACTTATCTAACAGACCACCCCAAAAAACTCCTGAGGATTTGTGACCCATCCAGGTGTTGATTCCAAGTTCCCAGAGTAGTTGATTGTTGTATTATCACTTGGCCATCTGGCTATCAAAAATTAATAGTATTGCTTTTTTGTTGTCATCAATTGTACATTTTTAGCAAAATCATTCTTGTTAAATTCAAATAAATTTGGATTTTGAATTTTAGATCAGTGTGCTTTTTCATCTCTGCCTCAAAACATCACAATGCAGCATGACATTGGAACGTGACACACAATGTGATAATTTAATTAATAAATACTATTTTCTTAAATTAAAAATACTTGTTGTATTCTAACATTAAAATATTTTGGGAATTTGATTGAAACTGTAATAATTTTTATTCTAAAATTTGTTAATATAATATATAATAAATTTTATGTTAAAATAAAAGTATTTTACATAAAAAATAGAGATTTTTAAAATTTATAATACTGCTTTATTTCTGATTACACAATTAATGAAAGTAAATTAGTAAACTTTTATTGCATTTTTAAGAGAATAAATCTTGTCAATTAAAGTAATTTTAATTAAATTTGGTTTTAGTAATATTAATTATTGCATAATCTGTATTTTTGTATGCAAATTTCTTTGCTTAAAGACAATGCTGCTGTTTTCAATATATGTTTATTGATGGCTTTTAAAAGAATTTGAGTTTGTTCGGTCTCCAGCATCATTTTGCTATTTGAGTTATTTTAATGTTTCATACTTTCTTTACTAAATTTTAGAATTTTTGTTAATGATGCTTCGTATTTTGCTGATTTGTTAAATTTTTCATCTCTTGAACTAACTTGTCTTAATTTTTTGTAAGATTCTTTCAAAATACATTTGGACAGTGATTCTTCGAGATCACGGACTTCTCTGTAACTTTGAATTGTTTTCTGATGATATTTAAAAAATTCTTTATCACAAGTTCTATGGGAAATATACTTAGAAGTTATATTTTCAGGTAATCTTTTATATATTTTAAATCTTCCTCTTTTACAAATTAGTTGGTTTTGTTTTATATAAATAACCCCATCTTTTATATCGTTTGTATTATTTAATAACACTTTTTCTTCTGTTTTTTTAAATTCTTCCACTTTTTTTACAGGCTTCAAAGTAATAGTAATTCCATCTATTGTGGCTTCTTGAGATTCATGTAATTTGGTTGGTACTTGAAAATCTGTGTCAGTATGTTCAACACTTATTTTGAGAACCTCTTCGGATAATTTCTTACTTTCGTGGATTGGCACGTGAAAGGAACTTGTAACTACTGATGGTATTGAAGGAGTTTCTGTGGCTGGAAAAGGTATTTCATCTGTTGTTACCATCATTTCTGCATTTGAAGTATCTGTATTATAAGTAGGAATTGAGCTTCCTTTATCAATCTTAACATCATCTTTATCAATCTCAACATCATCTTCAACAATCTGAACATCATCTTCAACATTCTCACCATCATCAATTTTAATATCACTTGTCTCACATAAAATACATTTCTGAATATTATGCATTGTTTTGTGATAAGTGACATAAGGAGGAACCAGATAAGATAAAATTGTCAAATTTTCTGTTCTTGGTAAATTCCAAACCAGTTCTGTAATCAAATCTTTTCTTTCTGAAACACATCAAAAGAAATTCCTGTCAATTAAAACTATGGCATAGATTATAATTATTGGTAGTATAGAGTACAACAGTTAAAACAAATCCTGATAAGTTATTGTCAAATCTGATTTAGAACCCCACAATTTATCATGTATGGGTTAGTTTACAGTCCAGTGACAGTGTTCAGAGTTCTGTTCTGCTAGATGTCAAATTATGGATACACACTTGTTCTAAAAACACAACTCCAAAGATGAATGATATTCAGCTTTAATGTTTAATGTTAATGCATCACTGCACAGAGTTAGTCATTGGCCAGAGTTTAACTATAAACTGAATGATGAACTTCTCAACTCAAGCAATGGCTAGTGATTTTGAAACTCCACACTGTCATTGAACTTTAAACTGGTCTTATGATTGTTGGTATCATTGTCTGGTGTTTATTCTGCTGGTCAGTTCCATTGTGGGCTAGATCCATCATGGATATTTTGATAATTATGGTGGCCATATATTCACCACTATTCTGATGCCACATATTAATTAATCATCAGTTACTTCAATAAAGTACAATTTTTTCATACTTTGAATTTAGAATTATGTTTTAGCAAAGTTGTTTAATATTGTATGTTTTTTAAATTATCACACTAACTTTACACATTAACTCTTCACAAGAATACTATAATGTTAATTTATCTAAATTTGTTTTAACTGAATCCACTTTGTAAAATAGCATAAAACAACATTTCCTTACCTTCTAAAACATTTTGCATTTTTAGTGGTTCTTCTGTAAATTGTTCAAAATCATCTTCTTTTGACTCAAATATGGCCATCTTACTTATTTTATCAAAACACTCTGAGATATCTGATTCACTTCTTTCTGTACTGCTTCCCATTTTTAATATTGCTGGAGTGGATTGGTATTTAAAAATTTCTCTTTCATCAACAAAAACTGATTCTACTAGTTTAGGAGATTCTGATTTTAATTTCTCAGCTACTGTTTTCTGAAACTCTTCGTCTTCAATATCATTTTGAATTTGGTTGTTGGAATAATAAATAGCTGGTAACAACCCATACGAACAAGCTAATGCCATTGTTGTTTCTTTATTTTCTTCTTCTTCTGTCTGTTTAGTAAGATCTAAATCAGGTATAGTTAACCTTTTGCCTGTAATAAATGGACTAACTGATGGTATAGTTTCATCTTCCTTGCTTTTACTTAACATTTTATCTTTTATATCATATTGTTTTTGATATTCAGTTGAATATTTTTTCTCTTTAAAATAGTCAGGTTCATATAAAAAACTCTGTGTTTCTTCCACAGTTGAAGTTCCTTCAGAACTCTCTTTGCTTTCGTATGTGTCTTTAGATGTGTAATCTGATTCATCAGATTCTGTTTCAGTTTCTTCAGATCCTGTTTCAGATTCTTCTGATCCTGTTTCTGATTCTTCAGATTCACTTTCTGTTTTGTCAGATTCAGTTGTTTCTTCTGACCATTCTTTTTCAGATTCACTGTCAGAATTTCTGTTTTCCTTTGCAACTTGGATCACAATATCGGGTTTTTTAATATTAATCAGAAAAGATCTCGTGACTTCAGTATTGCTTTCTTCTATGCCATCTTCATTTAATCTCTTCTTGCTGATTGTATCTATTGTCTGTTCTTCTGTAGTTAGAAAATTTTGTGAATTGGTAGGTTTTTCCTTGATGTCAATCCCATGTTTCAAATCAATAATATTGTTTACACCTTCTTTTTCATTTTGTCTGCTGCTTTCTGTACATATTTGGTCATTAATTAAGTGGTTAACTAAGATACTTTTAATCACATTTTCTATCTCCTGTTGAATTGTAGTATTTCTCTGTATGTTGAGCAATTTATCTGTAATGTTTGACAACAGAATATCTGCTAATTTGTCAATTGGAGATTTAAATATATCATCTGTTTTCGTACAATCACTGTTTAAAACACTTGTCAGATTTAAAATACTGATTTCTTGCTGAACTTTATCAAACTCTTGAGTATTAGCACACATTTCACTTTCTAATTCCTGAATATTGATACAAAACATGCTTTAGATCAAATGAAGTTTATAATTTTCATAAAAATTACACCTTATATGTACCATGTTTTTGTGTTTATCCTGCAGAAGATTGTAAGAACAAAAAACCCATAACTTGCATCATCATATAACCCATACCTACAGGAGCAGCCATAGCAATGAGTTTGTATTGCCATTTTAAAATTGATATATATCCCAGTTCATCACATAACATACTCCATTCAAATTGTTTTTTAAACATTGCTAACCTGTGGATAATCCACACAAAAATACAGTATTCTTAATGCTCTAATTCAGTGATTCTCAAAGTTATTTGATCTTCAACCATTTAAGTTAAAGTAAGTCACAGATGAATCATGAACCAACTTATGCCTCCATCCAATTCTTATCATATATAAATATCATTTTAGATGTGTGCTATAATGTTTTGTCTATCTGATATTGTAATGTAGAGTTTCTCAACCTGTGGACAATGACGACGGGACAGATGAGCTGATACGCAGGCAGACTTAAATTAAAACTTTATTCAATGACGATTCACTTTTAATTGTTTACTTCCAATTTAATAAATTATGTTTCCATATGTATTCAAAACATGCTTTTAGATTTATGTTATAAATGGCCTAGTGTGTCCCAAATGTTGATAATACCCAAATAGGTTTGAAAAATTAGGTATACATAACTTACTGGTCTGTAGAATTTTTCAGACATTTTACTGATCCTTGGGCTTAAAAACATTGAGAAACACTGTCCTAATGTAAGAGATAAGGTGTCCTTTCCTCTAGCCAAACAACATAGAATTTCTGTTTGGAAAAATAACTAGGTCAATCTGTGGACCACCGGGTCATGTTCAGACCACTAGCGATCCACAAACTATACTTTGAGAACCACGTTCTAATTCAAAGATGAGTTTAGTCTTTGTAATTACAGCAAGAATTGATCCATTCTTGTATAATTATATTCAATTTGAAAAAGCTTTTACTTTAATAGGAATAATTAAGTTTTCTCATAGTAAATTTATTTGATAGGATACATTACTATTCAGCAAAATGGATAATTGATTCAAATGAATCGTCCATTCATATTGTTAGATTGGGAGTGGCTTAAGTATGCTACAATGAAAACTCTTTAAACAAATTAATTTTATTCAGACTAGTTAGTAATGACATTGGCTGAGATGATAAAAGATACCAGCATGTTGCTCTAGAAGAGGTTGGAATCTTGAAAGGTTTAATCTGTCACCTTGATACCCAGCCATTTCCTACACCAGCCCACAGAAACCAACGACAGAGATGGGGAAAAGCTATGGTAATGTCAACAGGGTAATATAATTTAATAATTTCTTTTACATTTCTGCAACAATTAGATATAGAATCAAAAATAAAGTGAATTTAAAGTCGATATTAAGTTATTAAACAAAGTTAAAAAACTGCAAACGAACGATATACATTAAATCACAAATTATAAAATTATCAGAGAAAATTTCAAGATAAGTTATTAAACACTATTCCAAATCAATTTCAATAAGAATTTAGATCTTTCATATTTCGAAACTGCGTTGTATCTTTGTATTAGTTTTTCAAAACCGCAATGCAGCGTAATAATCAACACTTGGCATAACTCATTCATTTATTTCAGTTTTTGTTGAAAAACTAAGAATTTAGATGACAAATTTTTTTAGCAAGGACTGATAAAAATTCCATCAAACAGTCGTTACCAATTTTTTCTTAAACTTTCATAAGTTTCTGTAATGATATATCATACAATAAACCACCTCTTACAAACTAATTAATTAATTGAAAATCGTAGTAAAGGGAGCCATCATCTCCAATAAAATCAAAATCATAAGCAAATATTAGTCCTGAAAGCGATGCCGTTTTAACTGATATCAGTACATCAACGTGGCCAAAGAAGGACATTTATATAGTCATAAGCTCCGAATGTCGGGTACTCTGGTACGATTTGGTTCGGTGAGGTATAGCAACGTCACACACGGCCGATCTGCCAGAGGAGGATGCCTCCCTGGCAGATCGGTCAGGTAAAACCCACAACCAACTACCAGTTTTCAGTGGTTTATCCATTTGGCCTCCGGCCAGCCCCAGTATTCGATCATCCCGGTAAATTTAGGTATCGGGTACTCGGAGACGCGAGCATCCACTTAAAAACTTGTATACAGTGATTAAAGTCTTAATAAACAAACCCGGATCCTTCGTAGCTGCTTTACCTAAATCGGCGATGGCAAATCTGACGCGCTACGATTTCAAGGTACCCGTATTGATTGTTTATAAAGTTTTAGATTTTATTAAATATACAAAAGTATTTGTTAGATTTCGGAACTTTGCATATACTGTATAACGTGAAAATGGGATCCTACAGCTGTCCCGAAAAGTCTTAAAGGCCACTAATTGTGAATCTCAGATAGGAAAAACCACAAAATGGATAACAATCCGGTTCTATCGTTAATTATTATTTTAAATTTATAATAAATGTAACAACAATAATTAAAACTTACTTTTTTCTGCCATTGACGTTTTGTTAATCTGGACCAGAATCGTTTGAGAAAGTTGTTTTTATTGTTTTCTTTACGGAAGAGAGAATTATCAATTTGACTCGCCTTTGTCATGATCAAAGTGGAAAAAAGTCAAATAGCTCTCACTTTTAATCAATATCATTCATTGTTATATAACAATGTATTTATTGACCTTATTAATGAAAAATACAGAATGTAAAGCGTTGTTATATTACTGTTTTATTCTATAATGCATTTATTTTCATAAAAATTCAAAGTTTACGCAAAAATTGTACGGCAATTTGTCTTTTTAATTAAAAATGTTTAAGATAAGGATAGGAGTGCCGAAATCTGGAGGGAGGAAAAGCAAAAATGTGATGCCGGCTTTTTGCTTTTCCTCCATCTCCGAATGGCCTCGTTAAGAAAACATCGATACCATAGGTACATTTAATTATCCTAACAAATTTATAATTCGTAATTGCAATATTCTTCAAAGTTTGTGTTTATTCGTGTTATGTGAACTCATAATTTTCGTAATGAAGTAAACGTCAGCATTTAATTGGTTTGTAAAAAACTGTCTAATAGCGAGTTGTTCTATTTCTCGTATACTTAATCCGTTTCCGACTCCCAAAACAAAGCCGTTGTTTTACTTTTTGGCTGCATTTCGAGCATAAAAATGCCTAGAAACGCGATATAACATTATCTATATCCATTATATATATATATATATATTAAAACGGAACCGTCACCGCCAACGGAAATCGAAACCACGCTACAAAAAGAGCTATAGAGACTCGACTCTGCCGGGATGAAATATAAAGAAATCGATCGAGGCAGACAACAACTTCAGTTTCGGTGTAATAACCAGAGTTTTAACTATTATTTTATTACTTTTAGTTTTAATTAATTGACTACCCAGTATTAATGAATATTAAATTAAATATAATAATAATGATTAATTTAATATAATTAATATAACGCTCTGATTATAATATTAATATTATAATACTGGCCGCGTAACGATCTAATTTATAAATAATTCTGTAGCTACAATAAAATAATGTTAGTTTATGACGTAGAATTATGTAGGCCCCGGAAGGTGTTAATCCGCTACTTCAAATTGGGAGATGCATGATCAGTAAAATAGGAACGATTAAAATTATTTCAAGAAATAAATATGTTTAAAAATTATAACGGATCAAATAATTTTATGATTTTTAATACAATAATTAATTCGTAAAATTATTATAACGTTAATAACTAAAATATCCAGCAGGGGGCGACGCGTCGAGGAGGGAATCTCGAAGTTAGGATCACGTTTGCGGATTGTTTACGAAAATGGTGATTCATTTTATACGACAAATTAAGCGTATTTAATAAATTCTGTATATATTTTAGTAAAGTTATACTTTATTAAAATATAAACGGGTTATAGTAGACCCGCTTTTACCACTCGTTTCGGTTTCTGGTTATGAAACACGATAAAGTCCAAGTAGTTATTTTCAGGAAGAGTCTTAGTGCATTAAATCGATATTTAATGCACTAAGATTGAAAATTGGCTGCCTCGCTTTACCGTTGTTTTCTAGAAGCCGGGTTGTAAAACCAGGTTTATGATATATTATGCAGGATTTCGTCTCGCTGTCGGATCAAACTTTGTCTATTGATTGCTCGTTAATGTCATACAGAATATTCGTTCACAGAAAAAAAACAGTTAAGGGATTAATAAATCCCAAAATCGGCGATGGTGAGATTTTCTTCCAAAGCTTTCGTTATGTTTCTTTGGTACTAATGAGGGATTTGCTGTCCCAGAGTTGTAGACCCTCGAAAGTAAAAAAGTCGACGGAAGCGTACCCGTACGCGGCATATTTCTGCCTCTGCGAGATATTTGCTTCCGAAGGTCGGTTTTTACCGTGAACCGGTACTGCTGCCTATTCTCTGCCCGTAGTTGCGTGCTTTGCGCTTGCGGTGGCTCGTGCTGGAATGAGCCTCGCCTACCCGTAAAACTACGTGACGTCCGGCACTCCTCCGACGGTCGAGCGGGTTACTCGAAGCTGGCGTAACTGCGTGGGCTAAATGGCGAAACGGATGGTCTCGATGCTGTGAAGTGGGCCGATTTCGGGGGAATGTATCTTGCAAAGGTTCGCGTGTAGAGATATGGTTCTTTTGACGGTTTTACTCCTATGGATGTGATCTACGGTCCCGATCGTCTTATTCGGAGGTGTACTTGCACCTCTTTGATTAGACTGGCAATGGATTAAAAATAAGATGCTGATTTTTAAAAGTTTCTCTCGGCTGTATTTACTACGTATGTAGTGAGTACGTTCGTTTTTCTGCTAGATGGCATTAATTACGTGTCCTTAATACATATTAGTGAAAAATTCCAAACGATATAACAATGGTTTGAATCATTCTTTTATAAACAAGAAAACAATAGATATTAAATATTGTTTTTGGACAGCTGGAAAGCGAGTAAAGGACTTTAATTTGACTCTGGTTTGGAAACGTTGGGAATCTTTTGTGGATGGTCTGTCCCAGATATGCCAGGCCCCGTTTCTTACTGCCCGAATGCTCCTTTGTAGGCCGAGTCGAATTCGCAAATGGTAGGGAAAGTTTTCTTAGTGGCCGTAGGGTGGAAGAGTTACAAAAAACATTTTTTAATTTGTAATTGTTTTAACTTTATTTAATTTACTTCATTATACAGGAAAACAATTTATGATAGTTCTGTGCAAAAAATTTTCTGCGGGTGCTGTATCTGCAGAACATTTATGCTGTCAACTGTGTGTGTAATGATCTGATGTGATGCCACTTGAGAAGGGCGAGAACTGGAAGAATTGGAATGAGTTAGATTCTTTGTACGTTAAGTTGTGTTTTTTCGTGCTATGGTGCAAAGAAATTACGAAGATAAAGAACATTGTTTACAAATGTGATATATTTTTTCGATGTATCTTAAAGCTTTAACCTTTCCAATTGTATATATAACCTGCAATTTTTTCCCTCGTATAAAGAAATGCAGAACAATTCTTATTAACAATAATGAGTAATCATTAATTATTTTAGGAATCAAACTGAGATATTCAGTTTATACAGTAATTATTGAATTTATTGAAATTTGCTCAACAGTTAGAAGAAAAAGCATATTTAATAGTAGAAGCTTTTTTTATAGATAAGTACTTTGGTATATATGGACAATACACTCATATTTGAATATATAATTGGGCTGCAATTTGAAAAAATTGTAGACCTATAAATTCCCACTGTTGTCCATCTATCTTTCCTTAATCTTGAGAACAGAGTTAGATGGATGAAATCCTAATGTATGGAAATGTTAGGGCAAGAGGCCCTGATTAACTATATACAAACTCAATGCAAACTGGAAGTCGTATTATTTCAATTCAACACTTCCCCTGAAAGCAATTAATAGATGATCAACATGACTCTATTGCTAAAGGAAAAGTATGATGTACAGGGACAAGATACTACAGTACTAATTTGGGGTGGAGAGCATATGTTTTAAATTAAATAAATTAAAAATATGATTAAAAATTGCAGCCCATCATTGTGATGATGTCACAATAAACAATTGCTCTTCTTCTTCTTGGTGCCATATCAGATTCCTGACGTTGGCGACACCTGGCGTAGGTTTGTAATCCGCCAAGGTGTATACTAGGGAAAGTTACTACCCAGAGTGGTTTCCCGTTGCCTTCTCTGGGGCGCGATGTTACGCGAGGGGAACTAATGCCTTCACAATTGCTCATTAGAAGCATATATTATATAAGACATGTAATTATAACATATATATAAAACACAAATTAATATAGATTTAAGGAAACAAATCTTTCTCTCTACTCATTCTAACACACAGACATTTTAGCAGTTTATGTATTAGTCTCAACATATAATTTAGATGATCTGTTCAGAAAAACATGTTTAATGATGACAAAAATATTTAAGTTTTTATAATTATAATTATAGTTACTGATACTTATGTATTATTATTATATATTATTTTGGTTAGCTTTTGTTTATTATCTACCTACAAATATTTCTTTGAATACAAGCAATTATATAAAATAACATCAAATTAAGAATATAAATTGAAACATTTGTCTAATTTCTAGTCTAAAAGAAAAGGACTTAGTGCCGAAGAGAAAAGACAAAGAATGCTTCAGTTATTTTATGAAAGAGTAAGTAAATATTACAAATAAAAATTAACATATTAAAATAAAGTTTTGTTTTACAAAAATTCTTGTTTATCGAATTTTATAGAAAGAAGTTTTTCAGTTGAAAGAATTAGAAAAAATTGCACCCAAAGAAAAAGGGATTGTTTCACAGTCAGTCAAAGATGTGGTGCAGAGCCTTGTCGACGATGGTCTCGTTGATACGGATAAAATTGGAACCAGTGTGTATTTTTGGTCATTTCCTAGTAAAGCTACTAATAGTGTAAGCTCTGTTTTAATTAAGTTATATTTTTAAAGTTTCAATATAATCTTAACCAAAAACTTACATATACAAACATACAGTACACACATAACACATGCTCTAGTACTATATCATCATTTATTACACAAAAGAATAAATGATAATGATGATTATCAGTGGCGTGCCATGACATTTGGTGATAGGGAAGCTGTGTTTCTGTAAGAAGCCGACTTCCAGGGGCAATTAGTTAATTGCGCATCAGTGACGGTCTAGGGTCTATTCATATTCGTTTGTTCGATAAGCCAGTAAAACCGTAGACTTCTCTAAATGTATTTTTAATATCACAATTACATTCTGAATCGCTAGCCACGTTATAATGGCTAAAATTATATTAGAAAGAACTCAGCAAACTACAAAACATAACATATAACTAACATCTTATCCTTGCTGAGAAAATATTTATTTCATAAAAACAAACGTTTTCAGCCTGATTCACAGACCATCATCAGGTTGTGAATGAAATTAGAACTAAAACAAAAAATTAAATAACTAACAGAATAACATAAAATAAAATAAATTAAAACTAAACAAAAATTAATCATGTGAAAAATATAAAATAAGAATATAAGATTGTTTACTAACAATATCTCTAAAATTAAATTACTAATTTAATTAGTTGGAGTTCTTAGTAAATTTTAATCATAAACTTCCATGCAGTGGGAAGACTTTCTGCATCCCTCACATTCAAACATCCTTCACGTAGTTTACTCTTATAAATTTGGATCTTTTCTGCCGTCACTGCCAAAGATAGGGAATATATAGGTTTGATGATGGCTGCATTATTCCATTTGACTACAGAGTCTTGCGTCTGTGCCATTTGTGACAGAATTGTTGCATTGGACCCTTTTCTTATATTATATTTATGTTCTTTGAGTCTAATTCCCAAACTTCTCGTGGTTACTTTGATATAATCTTTTTTAATATCCAATTGATTATTTTCATATGGAATTCGGTAAACTCCTGGTTTTTCTTCTGACTTTATGCTATCTTTATTATTTCTGAGAATTTTATATAAATTTGGGGCTCTTTTTATAAGCATTCTGGAACCTTTCTTGTCTGCAACTTCTTTCATAAGTTATTCATATTTTCATTATAGATAAACTTCACAACTCCAGTCGGGACACTTTTGCATGACCTTTTTTTTGTTGTTTGCTTCATATTTATTTACCATTCCTAAGATTGTGCTTTTTTGGTAACCTAGGGTCTGGGCCATATTCATTATTTTATTTATTTCTTTAATTCTGTCCTGGATTCTGTCACAATACAAAAATGCCCTTCTTATCAGTGCACGAAATAATGAATAATGAGTGTGGCCAGATATACATTCCTGGTACAAAATATTCTTCAGTTGTAAGAATATACTTTTAAAGAAAATTATAATTAAATATAGCTTTGTGAAGAAATGTACATAAAAATAACATAAAATATTCTTTACTTTTTAAATCTTAAAACAATCCACTTAGTCAAATGGCTCCCTCTGAGTAGCTAATGGATGGAATTAGAGACAATCCTGGTGGGTGCATGCACACAGGCTGCCAAATCTCCAGGGTGCCGATACTGGTCAATGTCAAATGCCTCTTTTGTTGCATCACTAGTATACCTCAAAGGACGCGACAGGGTTGTTGTACATTTTAAATGTTTCTCACTATAGCTATAAAAATCTAAATATGTTAAACTTAATAGATTGTCCATTACTTGTTTTCTAACTAATTTGTTTTAGGACCAGGGTCCACAGAAATTTCCAAAATTTACAACTTTCTGGTCACTCTCATTGAACTGGAAAAATTTCTGCCTTTATTATCTAACATTAGGGAGAAATCAGTCCCCATTGTACTCGGCTAGAGATTTGTTCGGTTAAGCTTTTGTTTAAGTAAAATTCCGGTTCTTTCAGCAGGGTTTTATTTATGTTCCTAATTTCCTGGTCTCTTAGTTATTTAACTACTTCTTAAGTAGAAATAAGTCAAAACCGGTTACTCTGTACTTGAATATCTGTAGTCTTGGAAAAGTAGTAGAAAGAAATATGCGTACTTCTAAACCGATATTTGGCGTGAAAACTCCAAACAAAGACAGCCATGAACAACAACCCTTATGGCTTTTATTTGGAATTGTAGCAGCATAGTGAAGAAAAAATCCACTACTTAGATATAGAAATTGAAATTAAAGAAAGAACAATACAAACAAAAGTTTATAGAAAACCCACAACTATACCATCATACATACCCATCAATTCCTGTGACCCGTACTCTTACAAAGTAGCAGCATTCAGGAGTTTGATAGAAAGGGCCTATTCCCACTCTTCCACAACCTACGCTCTACAACAAGAATTAGCGTATATTAGAGAAGTCGCTAAAGACCACGGTTATGGCAAAATAATAAACAAATTATGTAATCAGCGCCTTCACATAAACAGTAAAATGGATGAAGAAAAGGAATCAGGAACAGGTGATAAAGAACATATGGAAAGGGTCCCGGTAACGTACAACCCACAAATGAAAAGGATATATAATTCAATTGCAAAGAAAAAAGGAATTAGAATTACATACAGAAGAAACCCTTCCATATATAATTTGTTAAGAAACGGAAAAGACGCCCATAACCCGAACAGACTACTGGGAATATACACCATTCCCTTAATAGACGACAGATGGCAGAGGCAACTAATTTACATAGGATCTACTAAACGTCCATTAGCCACTAGAATAAAGGAACATAAAGCAGATATCACCCACAACAAATATACAACAGCATTGTCTACATATGCAACAAAACCCCGATTTTTAATGAGGCACGAATCATCCACACCACTCGTCATCAGGAACATCTAAGAACCTTGGAAGCGATGGAAATCTACAAAGCAGATCGCAAATCAACCTTCATCAATCTTAAAGAAGAAATGAATCTTTCAACAGCATGGCAGTATCTATTGGATGATGAATCGTAATTTATTATACGATACACGAGATTATTATGGGATACGCACATCGTATCGCTACTAGTTAAAATTATTTTTAGAAACGGTACGTGATTAGTTAAAATCATATCGCTACTAGTTAAAATTATATTTTTAGACACGGCACATGATTATAAGATACACGAGTTTATTATGAGATGCGCACAACATATCTCCACGAATATAAATTATAAAGAAATTATAATTTGAAAGGCATGTGATTACCTTCCTTTTTTTTTTTTTTGAAATTCTAGTAACTGAGCACGTTCTTATTTAAAAACATTCGATTAAAGAATCCAGTACAGTAAATTTGGCCTGAAGAAGAGCCCAGGAGGGGCATCGAAAGCGTTTGCCAATCTTTGTTTTGAGTTTTCACGCCGGATATTGGTTTAGAAGTACGCATATTTGTTTTATATGACCCGGTGTGGGAGAAATCCTTAGTAGTGGAAAGACAAATTTTTATGACAATGGATATATAAATTGTAAATCTAAGGAAAATAAATTCTATAGGTTTTTTGTATCTTATGCATCTCATTCATTACATTTAGTTGTAAATGATGTTGCCAAAGTAACAGTTCATTTTTTTGACATTTTAACATTTTTAACAACATTTTTTCCTGCATCCCCTTATAGATGGGACATACTAAATCGTAATATCACTAGTTTAACATTGAAATCTGTAAGTAATACAAGATGGGATAACAGAATAAATATATCAAATATTTTAACGGATTTTTAAAAAACTCCTGTCAACTATACAAAACTATCATAAAAACATACCAGTAAACTCCTATCGGTGGGTTAAGTTATAAATCTACTCGTGATTTATTCGTTCATTCCGCACTGATATTCGAATATATAATAGCAATCTTATAATTTTTTTCACATGTAGTATAAAAATTTGTAATAACATACATAATGTGGTTATAATAAAATATTAATTTTAATTAATTTAAANCGCCCTTCACTTTGGTAGCTACCCTTCTGTCCATTGATAAATCCCGAGGGTGCTGATACCAGTCAATGTCAAATGCCTTATTTGTTGCATCACTAGTATACCTCAAAGAATGTGACAGGGTTGTTGTGCATTTTAAACGTTTTTCACCACAGCTGTAAAAATCTACATATATTAAAATTAATAAATTGTCCGTCATTTGTTTTCTAACTAATTTGTTTAGGACCAAGTGTCCACGGAAATTTCCAAAATTTACAACTTTTCAGTCACTCTCATTGAACTGGAAAAATTTCTGTCTTTATTATCTGATATTACTAAGAAATCAGTCCCCACTGTACTCGGCTAGAGATTGGTTCAGTTAAGTTGTTTAATTAAGCAAAATTCCGGCTCTTTCAGCAGGGTTTTATTTATGTCCCTAGTTCCCTAATCTCTTATTTAATTATCTTAATTATTTAACTACTACTTAAGTAGAAATAAGTTGAAACCAGTTACTTTGCACTTGAATATTTATAGTCTTGGGAAAAGTAGTGGAAAGACAAATTTTTATGACAACAGATATATAAATCGAGCAGAAGGAAAATAAATTCTAGAGCTTTTTCTGTACCTCGTGTATCTCTCTCATTCATTAAATTTAGTTCTAAATGATGTTGCCAAAGTAACAGTTCATTTTTTTTTTTAACAGTGTACAAGAATTGTACATGTTTTTTCCTGCTTCCCCTTATAGATGAGACATACTAAATCATAATATCACTAGTTTAACATTGAAACCCATAAGTAATATAAGATATGGGAGCAGAATAAAAGCAGAATAAATATATAAAATATTTTAATGGATTTTTTAAAAATTTCTGTCACCTATACAGAACTATCATAAAAACATACCAGTAAACTCCTATCAGTGTGTTAAGTTATAAATCTACTCGTGATTTATTCATTCATACTCGTGAATATATAGTAGCAATCTTATCATTTTTTTTCTCATGTAGTATAGAAATTTGTAATAAGATACGTAATGAGGTTATAATAAAATATTAATTTTAATTAATTTAAAGTACGTTAAAATATGAAAATAATCGCACAATATGTATTTATATTTTAGAAAATACAAGGGAAGCGGCGCTTCCACTGCTTCCAAAGATGGCACGCCACTGGTTAAGTTATAAATCTACTTGTGGTTCACATAATGGGGCGAGAGTGACCAGATATCTAGCACGCAGGCAGCTGACAGTCCAGAACCAGTCCTGGATAGAATCATTGGAAGCATTGTATGTGTAGCTTACACCGTGAGGTTGGTACTCTGTAAAGTGCATGTGCAAATGTCTGTAATCTGGCTGTTTTACACCAATCAAATATTTTTGTTGTGGAAGCTGTCCCGTATTCGACAATACGGCACTTTCATTGGGAATATCCATATATGAAGTTATATTTGAATATACAATAGCAATCTTATCGTTTTTTTTTCACACGTAGTATAGAAATTTGTAATAACATACGTTCAAATATAAATACATGTTGTGCGATTATTTTCATATTTTAGAAAATGCAAGGGAAGCGGCACTTTCACCACTTCCAAGGACGGCACACCACTGATGATTATTTGATTCCATAAAAATAATTTTATTTACAATAGATTTTTTTCATCATGATTTTGGAATTAAAATGTTTAATTCTATAAACTGTTTGAAATTTTTTCTATAAAAATTGATTTTGAACAGTTTATAGAATTTATAATTAGAGAAAGCTTTGTGTAGATGAAAAATATCAGTAAAACATACTCAAATTTTCTAATATGATTTTCAGAGAAAAAGAAAACTTCAAGATTTGGAAACACAAATAGAGGAAAGTAAAAAGCAGTTGAGTGGTTTATCAGAGCAATTGAACAAAGCACAAGTTGGAAAAGAAGAAACGGTACGTTGAGAAAGAAATAAGGTAACTAAAAATAATTTTTATTTATTAAAATATTAAATCTTCACAGAATGAAAGAATTGAATTACTGAAAGAACTTGAATCAATGGAGAAAGAAAGAGACAAATTAAAGTCTGATTTGAAAAAATATCAGGATTGTGATCCAAAGATGCTAGAGTCAATGAAAAACCAAACAGCGGTTGCCAAAGAAGCAGCAAATCGCTGGACTGGTAATTATTTTTATTATATTTATATGTATTTTTTTTAAATTTTATTTTATAAATATATATGATATTATAGATAACATATATGCTCTGAAATCTTGGTGCAAAAAGAAATTCTTTATTGAAGAATCTGTTATAAACAAACAGTTCTCCATACCAGAAGATATAGATTATTTGAACTAAGTTTTTCTTTAATAAATTATCAACATCATTTAAAATTTATATTTTTTGTTAAAAAGTTTAATATGTTTTTCCTTAGTAAATTATTAAATTTGCATTATTTAAAGAATACAATAAATTTATTACATGTTTATATTATATAATGTATGTAAAAAATATTTTAAATTTTGCTTTTATTTTTTATTGCGATGATTACATAAATGTAATAACTGCTTTAATGTCTCAAAGTTATATAAATTTATTTTTAATTAATTTTATTTTATAAAAAATACTTTAATAATTTTGTTCTTATAATTTAACTATACAAAATTTTATTGTTTTTCTAGAAGTAGAGTTATGACAAAAACTAAAACAAAAGAGAAGCTTTCTTCTTATGATGATACATAAATTTCTTTCATGATTTAATGTCTTAAAATTAATTCTTAATAATAATATATCTACATAAAATTTAAAATCATATTTCGTGTGCAAACACAATGGAATTCATTACAAGGATACAAAATTTTATTGTTTTTCTAGAAGTAGAGTTATGACAAAAACTAAAACAAAAGAGAAGCTTTCTTCTTATGATGATACATAAATTTCTTTCATGATTTAATGTCTTAAAATTAATTCTTAATAATAATATATCTACATAAAATTTAAAATCATATTTCGTGTGCAAACACAATGGAATTCATTACAAGGATAATAAATTTTATTGCTTTTGCACATCAAATTTCATTTAGAAAATAAAAAATAACTTTATTAGAGTACAGAAAAAAATCAATGTTAACCATTTCTTTCCCTTTCTATTCAGTTTTAATCAACGTTTTCTCAGTTTGTATTATTTATTCAGCTATAAAATTGTGTTTTACAGATGAACAAGTTGTATAAATAAAATTGGATTTAAGAAATCACAGTAATTCATTGCGCAAATAATAAATTTTGTTGATTTTACACATCAAAATTCACATAAATATAAGAAATAGTTATACTAAAGTGTACAAAAAACTTCACTTAGCATTTGAAAGTATTTATGTTACTATAAAAAAATGTTACCTAACAAGTCTCACAAACTGAGAAAACTTTGAATAAAATTGAATAGAAATAAATGAAATGGTTAAATAACAGAGAATAATTATTTTATTTTAATAACAACGTGCAAAACATTATAAAGTTTTAAATAAATAATTTTCCAGACTTTCTATAAATATAAAACTTTTAAAAAATATTTTTATCAATTTTTATTTAAAGACTTATTTTTATAGATGTAAAATCTTATAGATAAAACACAAACTTGAAAAATTTTCTTTGGTTTACGTAATTCTCAAAAATATGAAAAATCATTTCAGACATCCTGCCATTTCTTTACTTTTATGTCATTCAAAGCTTATTAGTTGTCATTGTTTTATTTTAAAATATACTCTATTTACCTAAGGTTTCCGATTTTTGAATCCTTTTGGGATTTCTTTGGTTAGTTTTGACATTAACGTCTTCACAGAGAATTAAAAACGATGGAGGATATTGACCTTGCACATCATTTAATTGTTCTATTTTAAAATACTGTGAGAAAATTTGTTCTAAAATATTGCCAGGAAAGCTTTTTTTTTTATAAATTACAAAGTTGTTTAAAAAAAAAAGAAAGGAGAAGTTTTTGTCGAAATNTATTTAAATATATTATAATTATTAAATATAATTATAACTTAAAATAATTTTTACAACCCACAATCTATAAAAATGGTTTTTAATTCTAGTTAAATATATTAAGGTTGATTTTAATGCATTTAAAGCCTAATTATGATAGGTTTGTTTAGTAGTTAATTTTTAAATACTTGGACTTATTTTTTAACGGAGAATAGCCACAATGTTCTTATGAAATTAATGATATTATTCAAAAACACACGATAACGTTAAATTACGGTATTTTTTTTGTGTGTTCTGTTGTTTATGTTTCAATAATATATTCAATTCTTATAGAGGAATCTGTTCATAATACCTGCACATATTCAAAACAAATGGGAGGAAAAAGTCACATGATGTAGCTTGATGCTTGAACTAATTCATCTAATGATGATCTCTTGTAAACTTATTTTTACCCCCTTCTCTTATCACTGATTCTCATCAGAAAATATAAGAGCAAACCACGTGTATAACATTTTAAAAGAGAAGCATTCTTGATTAAACCTTGTCGAACTCTATTCATTCAGACCTGCGGGTAGTCGAGTATCTACACTGAAATAGGTGGTCGGTTATCCTGTAGATTGCTTTAACACACGTGGCAATCAACCTCTGTATACAGAAAGAAATCGCATATATTCTTCTCTAAACAATTTAATAATATTTTACAATTTATTCAGCTTGAAAGTTTAAAAAAAAAAAATTACGCACAAAGCCGGTTTCTTTTAAGTTTTAATTGTTTTAAAACTAGATATTCCTTCTTAAGTGTTTCTATCTGATGTAATAGTAGAGAATTAATTAAGAGTTGTATCGAAGCCAAAAAAGTTAACTTGTGACTAGACGAAGGTTCAGAAGTCAATTCGATCTCCGGAAATTACGTATTTAACCTCGTTACATCGGGATATTTCTGGTCGTTTCCGGTGGCCTGTCCGAATTTCCATCATCCCCGCATCATCTATCCCCATTCGTGTGTGTAACACGACCCACGATGTTATTCCGTGTCGTCAATTGACGTTTACACAACGTGATAAGTGTCGAAACTATTATTTTATACTAAATATTGTTAATATTCAAAAGTCTCGAATGTATTTGTAATGTTTTTCTTTAATTTTGGAGTGAATTAAAAGTGGCAACGACCGGTTTAATACTTAAATTTTCCTTTACTTAACGCCGACACATAATAACACTATAGTTTAAACAGCGTTTTACACATAGATCGGTTTAGAAATGTTAATTAATTTATTTAATTAAAGAAAAAACCAAACTTTAGAAAAATCAAGAATAATTATTTATTTAAAATCTTTTCAGCATTTTATTTATTATACTAGAAAAAACCATGAATATATATAAACATTCATTCACTTTTCGTAATAAATACATTTAAACTCATAATTAAATATTAAAATATTTAATTAAGATAAGAAAATACACATTAAATTACTTGACGACATACAAAATTTCGCACGTCCATCGAAAATTATATGTATCTACGTCAAAATAAATTATTTAAAATGATTTTCTGTTTCACGTAATTCAAAATACATTTCTTTACAGCTTAAAGTCTTACTTATTGTAAGGTTAATTGAATCTAAATACACGTAGTTAGACTGTTTTATGTGACACAGTACAAGATATAAAACGGACCTACAATTTGATTTAGGTCAACACTGCACAGATATAAGAAGAAACAAATTTTTCTTACTTTATAGTGTTAAACGTTCTTAGATGCAATTCCTTTCGTTAAATAGCACAGTGAAACTTGAGTTAGTCATTCTCCCATTAACCAACCTTCTTCCTTCTTGCCATATACTAATTTTCTTAGTTCTTTCTTAGTCGTCTTATTGCGAAACACGTACAAATATGGATTGATGATGGAACTGCTAAATAGAGCGATGTTTACAATACTCATCAACCAGTCGGGTCGAACGTAACGTTTGCTGTAAGATTCTAACGCTAGTACTAGATAAAATGGGAGCGTCGATACTACGTGAGAAGTTACGACCATCAGAGGTGTTCTGATAGCTCTCCATTCCTCCCCCAACTTAAACGAACTCAGTTTTTTTCTATAAGGATACATACGTGCTCTGGCACTGTTTTTCTTGGCTGCCAAATACATGGATCGATACGTGAGACATAATTTTATGAATGGGACCAAAAATCCGCTGATGGTAAGCACCGTAGAGTAGATCACTAGGCTAGGAGTGCTGCTGTACCATAATATAGAACACGAATGCCACGATCTTCTGTACTCGATTCTGAACAACCCTAAAACGGGAGGAAGAGACAAGATGACAGAAATCATCCAGATCCCGATTATCTGAAGGTAATTAAGTTTTTTATTGAAAGTCATGGTGTAATGTAGAGGATTGTTGACTGCGTAACATCTATCGATAGCGATTAGGAGGAGAGAAAAGGCAGTGATCAAACAGAGACAGATAGATAGAGAAGCTGATATGTTGCACCATAATTGACCAAAAATCCACCTTCCGAACAGACCGGACAGAACAACGTATGGCATTTGCAACACTGATTGCACCATATGGCAAAGGGACAGACTCAATACGAATCTGTTAGAAAAAGTGCGGAGGGTGGGTTTTCTGTAGAAAAGTAAAAACACCAAGCTGTTGATGATCAGACTTCCAGCATTCAAGGTGGCCAGAAAGACTGCCTCCATTTTGTCACTAATTTCCGAAGACGTAGCGTTTTGCAAATCAACTGTAATCATTCTGTAAAGAAAAAAATAAGTGAAAATTTAAGATTAGTTAAAACTTTGTGAAATTTTAATGAAATTTCTTAGTCTTACTAAATACTTGCTAAGTAAAACGCCTTTAAGAACTGTAGAAAATACCAACCTTTCGGAGTTAAGAAGATTCGAGACTCGGCATCTGTGCACCAACTTCTCATTGTTTGTAATCTCAATCGGGCACGTGACGGCCTTTATATATACTTCCACAGAAGGAGGAAGTCGGTCTTGTTACCATAGTGACTCGGCGGTTCAGTGTGTTGCATCATGCCACTGGAGAAGCACAATGAAAATACTATGTACATTCATCATTTGGATCATTTGAAAATTTAACCTGGAAATGTTTAAAAGTCAAAACATCTGTTGTTTACAAGAGCGAGATACTTTCAGAATCCGTAAACGAAAATACACATGATCTGTAATCATTTTAAAGGAGATTTATATCGTTTTGTAGTCATAAATGTTGCACAGGACGACTATACGTTGCTTTTTTTATATAACTTGTACATATTTTTCATAAACATAGTTTATTTTTAGGACATTACTCTCTGCACGTGCGCGCAAAAATTCTAATAGCGAACTTACCTAATAAATAAATTTTGGAGTCTTTTTAATACTACTGTTACGTATAAAATAACTGCGAAACAATAGGAATTTGCTCGAGAAGGTTTGAAATTTTATTTTTTCCATAAGGTCGGAAGATAAATTTAGAAATTTGATTAGTTTTGTTAGATTTTAAGACAGAGTTTTTTTTAGACAGAAAAGTTTAAAAACGATTCCAGTACATCTACTCTAGAAGTTATCGATTGCCAGTGATGATACTTTAAAAATATGTCAATGAATTAATAATTATCTTAAAAAATCGCTTATTTAAAGAAGAAAATATATTTGTAATGTTTCTGTATTGAGGAGTTACTTTTTTATTCAAAAAATTCTTTTTACTTTAATATTTCTCGGTTTAATTAAAATTTATAGATTTTGATGGTCAAAATATGCTTTTTTTCTTTTTGAATAAATTTAATCCGGGTAGTTCCGATGGGGGTCCTCTAGTCACACTCGTCTATCCCATTGCGATTAGGTCCGCTTTTAATGGCCGATCATATTCTACAATATGTCGATGCTTGGCGTGAATTTATGGATTCAAAATGAAAAATACTAATCTTTAAAATCCATTAATACGAATCTTAAGGATGTGCTTTGGGAGTCCGGGGTTCGAGTATCTTTTGAATCTTTCGAAATTTTTGTAGGCGTTTTGATTCGATTCGGTTAATTCCTGATCATTCCGGTGCTCGTCGGTGGCGGAACGGATAAAACCCTCGAACATTAGCGGATGGTCGCGGGTTCGCGCTCGGCCAGCGAGCTGACCCTGCGGAGTTTTCTGGGTTTCTTTACTTTCGCAACACCTAAATAGGGGTCAGTTTCCCGGGAAGCATTCCCCTCGACAGATGTTTAATTTGGCAGTTTAGTGGTATAATCCACTCGGCTACTAATAGGCGAGAGTCGAGCTATTGAAAACACTATTTCCCGCGATAGATTTATGCTTTTACTACTAAACTCTACTTCGCTCCACCAGAAAAACCTTCGAAGGCTCCAAAAATCTGTTATGCCGATGAACTGATTTCCTGCTTGAAATACACATTTAGTAAATGTCAAGATAATCAATTTCAAAGTAGAGGTTCAGTGACTAAATTCGAAGATCGCTCTTCACTAAAACTAACTAAACGGAATATCAAATTATGGCTTATTTGCCATACGACCTAACTGTATACTCTGGTGAAGGTTTTCATCAGTTGCAAATGACGCATTAATCCTTGGAGAACGAGTCGTCGAGTTTCTTGCGGAGACAATAAAAGTCCTAGATGTAGTCCCGTGTTTCTATCGTTTTTTTACTAGAGCGAATCTATTGGAAACTTACTTTACTGCAGTAAGTAATTGTATGGCTAACTGCGGAAATTACCATTCCAGGCAAACTCAAATGGGGAGAGTCTACATTCGGATCTGTTACGCGACACCAAAGAAATTTTGATAACGAGTAATTGTCACGAGGCTCGTTTCTTTCTTGATTGTATATATATTGATAGATACCAAAAAAGTCCCATTGGTACACATACGTACCACGCTTTCTCGTATTTTTTCCATTAAAAATCTTCAATTTGACTTCAAAAGAGATGACCCTTTTCGTATCTTGGATTTTGCGTAAAAATAAATAAATGAATAAATATTCGGGAACGAAAGGGATAAATTTCTATAATAAAATGATTATTCCCGAGATAAAATTGGCATCGAAGACTTTCATTCATTGAAAACAAATGGCATTTATTTTTTTAACGATGGAGAAATTTTAAATTTTATTATATTAACCAATAGTTTTCCGGAACGATAGTGCATTTTGTTTTATAATCGATTAATTGGTGAAAATAGTTTTAATTATAAAAAGAAAACTTTCAAACATCCTATTATTTCAGTAAAACTTATGGTTAAAATTCGAGAGAAATATATTTTCTTTAATTCCTATTTCGTACATTAAATAATAATAAAAAGACCAATTGCCAGTTTGTATCAACGGTATTTAAGATATTTATTTCTGTACTAGTTAAAACACTATACATTAAACGATTAGCCTATTACAGCTATAATTAAATAAGCCCTTTTAATTATAGCCGTAACCGTTCAATGTATGGTTAACTTTGGGATAGAAGCGTATTTAATTTAATAATTAAAAACCTGTTTGATTTTTTCTGAAGGTTTCTTATAGATAAGCAAAAATATAGTTACTAAAATTAAAATCACTTAATATTTATATCAAATTATGTTTTTATCTTTTTATAAAATATGTATAATCTGATCTCCGTAAAGCATTTTCGTGTTTTTATTGACTCGGAGCATTAGCGAAGCCTCTTCTACGTGCTTAGATAAATTGATTTCGTTCCGAAAATGCCATCGGCCGATTTTGATTGAACTTGGTCGTTTTGCATCGTACGTGGCGACCAATTTAAAAATGTAATATACGTCGGAGGTCCGCGATGCGTTTCAGAGATACGATAGAGTCAAAAGTGACAACGTCCGATGTTGCTAGCGGGAGCGTGCGAGTTTTCTTTCCTGGTTGTGTTATAACAGAGGGAATGTATGGCTATCGGTCAAAATACGAGCCCGCAAGATTTTTACATTTTTGGACTCGGGACTTTGAAACGTCCAGATATATTTTTAAAATTCGTTTTTTTTCCTGTGAATGGATGTTAGCGTGCGTAGGGGCACGACTTTGTTCACTTTCTTTGAGGCTTAATAACTCCTGCGCGTTTTGTCGAAATTTTCTGAAATTTTGCAGTCAGGTTTGTGTATTAGGGGATTGATGCTATTAAATTTCGGTGGTTAAAGATGGAGGGAATGGGGAGATAAAGAGGGGTCGGATGTCGTATCTCCAGTAGGATCGGACTTAATATCGATTTTACTCGTTATTAGCATTGAAATTTTTTTAAAGAAAATCCATTCCTACCTTCAGAATTAAGCTTTCTGACATTTTATAATAATTAAAAATTAAAAAGTTTTTAGTAATAAAATATCGTAAAAGATGCGCACGCGCATTTTAAAACGTTGCCGGGAAAGTTAAGCTGCTCGTTGCTGGAAGTTTGTATTTTTTATGCCAAAGGCGACGTTAATGCGATAGTAGCGACAAGTGACGGTTGTAGATACCCCGAAACAATATTATCGACTCGCTAGCGCTTCGATTCAATTCGTCGAACAGAAAGCGAACTGTGTCTAGTTAAAGTTGTTAGTTATTTTAATATCGGACTGTAATTTGAAAAATTGTAGACCTATAAGTTCCCACTGTCCTCCGTCCGTCTTTCTTTCCTTAATCTCGAGAAAGAAATTAGACGGAAGACGAGACCAGATATAGAAACCTTAGGGGTAGGAGACCCGATTAACTATATATGAACTTTCGTGGGTGCTCTAGATCGCGTGATAAAACTAGGGGAAAACGCGACTTCGTTTACAGAGTATCGTTGGCCAAAAGTCGACAGCCGAGGTACATCTGCGGGGAGACGCTGGTTTCGAGTCGAATGTTATCTCTGGAGTGAACCATTCGGAAGCCACGTTTAATGTATAAAACCACTAAACAGTGGTAGCTAGTCCCCGATTTATGCGGCCAACTGGCCGCTCCTTTAAGTTTTAGTATTGTTTAATATATTAATTATATCGTTTATATCGTATACATTAATAATTACGCCGAAATTATTAACAAAATGCTGAAATTATTTTTAAAAATGCATAAATCGCCAACAAAAATTTGTATTTAGAAAAAGTATAATACAATTAAAATAAATTATAATTTGTACTTGAAAAAATATTTATGCGTGAATGAAGAGATAATGAATGAATTGAAAAGCTTTAAAAAAAAGTAGTTTTATCTTAAGAATAGATTGGAGTAGATGGAAGATGGCTGAACGATCGGAATAAATTGTAAATTCAAGAAGTTGTAAGAAGAATAATTAGGGTCTATTTAAATATAAAAATAGGGAATGTAGAATAATTAGATTTCTTACAAATGAAGGTAATTTCTCATTAGAAGCCAAGATTATTTATTCGATAATTATCCCGAAACAATTTTGTCCAAGTCGCTTTGGAGAAGAAATATTAAAAAAGAAAATGTCAAATCTTTTGAATATTTAATTAAAAAGAATGGGAAAATTTTGTAAAACACGAAGATGGAAAAAGAGGGGTGTAATCTTCTATGAATATTTAATATTAGTCGAAATGACATTCGATGGCAATTACAATAATTGACTTTGTTACTTAACTGCTATGAATAAATCGAGAATTGGTCGGTGTTGATACATCGAATGATAAATAGAACAATTTTTATTTGATATTATAAAGACTGGCCCTACATCTCTCTACTATATAACAGCGAATAGTTAAATATTATTTTAAATGAATATTCGAATGGATTAACAATGCATTTTGTGTAATTTTTTCAGTTTAAGAATGAAATATTCTGATATTTCTATAATTTGATTAGAGATAACCACTGATTTTTTTAAACAAAACATGTATTCGGTAGTAATGACAGGAATGGAACACTAGCCAAAATGTTAAATTCTAACAAAATACGTATTTAAAAAATGACTATTGTTTAGTAATTCCTCTCTTTCTGATAAAATTTTTATAAATAAGATAAATTTTAGTACTTATTAAATTAATTAAATTTGATGGATATGTTAATCGTTGAGTATTATCATATTCCTTAAACCAAGTAAATATAGAATGTTCCTCTAAATTATTTGTTGTCAAAACTAACTGACATTGCGTACAGTTACCTAAGGCTGTCGGCACTTTCTTTGCCAAACATTCGGCGAGATAAGACGTGGCATTTTGTTCAATCAGACAGATATCAGGTTCGCGT